GGGCCCGGGGAGCACCCACGGCCAAACTGCTCCCGGAGGCCTGACCTGCAGCAGCGCTGCCCCCCGGCCGTGCCCCATTCCTGGTCCTCCGCAGGGTTTCAGCTGAACAAACAGCTCTACGACATCATCACCATGCGCTACGCCGACAAGAACATGAACATCGACTTCGACAGCTTCATCTGCTGCTTCGTGCGCCTGGACGCCATGTTCAGTGAGTGCCTGCCCTGCTGCCCCTCCTCGCCCCCAAAACACTCAGAGCAAAGTTTGTTCAAAGCACTACTGCCTAGGTGGAGTAGGAATAATTAACAATACGTGCGTAGGGAATCTAAAATAGGACAGCTGTCTTATATAAACAGAAAAGGAAACCTCTGCGTTTCTTCTATTAGCCACGAAAAGCACAGCAGAAACACCTGCTGACCGTGTCAGGAAATACCTGCACACGTTTGCATAACACGACAGGAACACAATTTGGTTTGCTGAGAGTGCCTTTATACACACAGCAATTTAATCTAGTCCATGTGGTTTTGTTTCTTTGCTTTAGGGGCATTCCACGCCTTTGATAAAGATGGAGATGGCATCATTAAGCTCAATGTCCTGGAGGTAAACTGCTTTACACCAGTACTTCTAACACAATGTCACAATACTGAATTTTAACCATGTTATTCGTTGCATGTGTTGTCAAGGGAGTCTGTGAGGGCTGGTCTGAAATGATCATCCAATTGGTAAGAGGATGCAAGATCTCCTCAAAATTTTGCTACCAATTTTACACGGAAAACATCCATGATCTGCCAGCACCAGTTACTCTGTAAGAGTCTAGTTGGTACTGAAGACTCCTCTAATAATCTTTAAAACTGCTTCCAAAAACTTTGGAGATTTTTTTAATGAAGCTATTTAAATTAAATGTACCACTATGGCATTAACTGATAATAGGGTTTAACATAGTTCTTTACCTTTAAATTCTTACTAAGAAGCTTTAGGAAATTTCAATCTAAAATCATGTCTTCAGCTTGGGAGATCATAAAAAAACCCTTCACTTTTTTTGGAAGGGAAGTAGGCATAGGAGCAATAAGCCTAAGAAAAAGTTCCCCAATACCAGTATGCTTCATATTAAGCGTCAGCAGCAGCTGCCTTCCAGCCAGAGGTGGTGATGTCTCAACAGAATTTGCTGAAGGATGCCAACAAGACTTCCATCCTTTAATTCTAACTCTTTTTCTCAGTGGCTGCAGCTCACGATGTACGCGTAACACCGGAGCCAGAGGCCACCTTCATCAAGAACACAGTCAACACTTCCATTCTGAGCAACTAGCTCCATTTCTCCCCAAGTACAAACAAGAGCATTATCCCAGCTTTGTGCTTTGCCCATCGAGATAAGCAACGCTTGGGAAGAAGCCCTTGAAGAAAGACAACCAACCCTAACTCCAGCAGGCAGACCAATGCACTTAGTTTGTAACTGCTGTTACAACTTCTTGACATTTTTCCTTTGAGCCACAAGGATTAATTTACTGATGACTGAATGAAGCTGCTTCTGCATGGTAAAGACATGGAGCATGAATCCTTACTCTGCTTATGCTGACAAGTGGAAGAGTCTTCCCTCAAGTATGGCAAAATGGGGACTGGAGCTGAACTGTGAAAGTCAGAGGTGTTTACTATCACCTTGTAATTAGTCATTAACTCTTTGTCCTGCTTTTGGTACTATCATTTCAGCCTTTTCATAATGCTGAGTATTTCACTTGAGATTGTGCTAGGTTACATTAATATTAAGCATCCCAATCACATTGTTATGGGTGTGGCTGAGCAGCCTCGTTCTCCACTATGCCAGAAAGGTGGAAGTAAAACACAACAGACTGCAGTACCCCAGTACTAGTGGTTTAGTGCCAAAAGTATCATAACTGAGCAATGTGCTCTTCTTTTACTACCTCCATAGTATCTTAATTACACATTGGACATTTAAAATAGTTTTTATAGTAACTGCATTCTCTGTAACAATGAGAAAATTGTTTCCCAATCGAGACAGAAAAACTCCTATACCTACAAATCTATATTTGATGTGAACACACATAGATCCCACACACACCCTCAGGGTCCTATTTCCTGACAGTATTGTGTATTTTTTTTTTCCCATGTAAGAGGTGACTTGTAGCACTATGTTATAGCATGGTCACTTTGGGAAGATTAATAACATGTGTAAGTTTAATTGAACTGAAAATAAAACCGACTGGATTTTGGCCTAACCTTTAGGGTTGCTCTTTGTTTTTATTTTGAAAGAAGAGAGGAGGATGAATCATGGAGCACTCTTCCGTCCTTCTTCTGAATATAGAGCAGTTTTTGGAGTTTCATGGCAAGTGTGAAATCAGCTTAGCATTTCAAACATTTGGCCTTTTGCTCCTTGAATGCTTTAAACAAAAACAAAAAAAAACCAAAACAAAACAAAAAAAAAGGCAGCACTTGACTTGAGAGGTTCCATCATCACCAGCTCTGAGGATGAAAAGCTTTCAGAACTGGTCAATCACTCATCAATATAAAAATGGAAGGAAACACTTAATGTGCAAAAAAAACGTGAAGAGACCAGACTTTGTCAGGAGAACCTTCTATTTAGTTGTCTAGTGATGAAAAGTAACAAAGCAATCCATCACTGTGAAGCAAAATTGTAAAAACAAATGGTAGCACCCACTCAAAGGTATTCTGGTAGGCAGCACATTTAACTGAGAGTTCACTAAGATACAGAAAACCTTTTGATTATAAAGTTCCTAATGTTGTCTCTTGCACTGTAACTTACCCTGAAAGAGTAAGCAAATAAAGAAGAGCTATTCTCCTTTAAATTCCACATTTGTTTTAACCCAAATCACATATTTTTAGCTGACTGGAACACTAGGAGCCCTGGGTTCCCACCACGCATTATCTCCACTAAGCTATTAATTTCTGTACAAAAAAATATGGCAGAGATGCTCTTACTTGGGATGTTCAGTGAAAACCAAAATCTATCAGTTGAAAGATGAAAATTGAGATTTTTCCATTTGCAACTCAAAACTGGTCCTTGAAGTCCTGGAGAGTGAACCACCCAACAGCTCTAGAGAGCTTCCCTTTGCAGTGGGCCATGATGCCACAGAGTCTGTATGTTATCTTGGAGGCACCAGCTGGGAGGACAGTTTCCACTTTCCCTGCTGAACAACTGTCTGAGACTACTGCACACCGAGAGCAAAAACTTGCAACACTCTTGGAGCTTCAAAAAAAAACCACTTTGGAGCTTCAAAGTGGCTGATTTTATCCAGCCCTCTTAAAAAAGGGAAAAAATCCAACACAAAGTCAAGTTCTACTGAATCCTGTGAAAAAACCCACTCTATTCAAAACAAGAAAGAACCAGACTGACAAACCAGAACAATATAAAGAACTTTTATTTGTCTTTTTTTTTTTTTTCTCCTCTTCTTTTTCCTTCTTCTATGGTGTAAAGTGTCATTACTACACTCACAGCTTTGTACCGAAGTGAGAGGAGAAAACCAAAGTCAATCTGTGCACATGTTCTACACAGTTTAAATTACTAAATATTCAATCATTTTGGCTTATCCCATTTCCATTCTTAAAAAAACCTGTTTAACACTTGCAGCAAAATGAAATTTGGGAAGCTGGCAGGCGCATGTAACAGAATATGTACCTACACAATTTGCTCTTCCACTACTAAACGTTTTACAAATAGCAGCTGAAATCATCTCCTTATCCTTCCTCACGTATTCTGCAACTCTGGACAACTCAGACTGCTTGAATGATAGTACCATAAGAGCCTGAAAACCAAGATTTGTCATATCTGTGTTTTAATTCAAAAGAAAGGAAAAGTATTTCCTTAACACCACAGTTTTGTGTCTGGAACCTGCAGTTTATTGCCAGTTTTCAGTTATTGTTCACCATTACCTGGCATTACTGTCTAGTTTGAGAACGTGCATCAAGAGCTGCACTGCTCCAAACACACTGCACAGCCAAACTCCTGCAATTTTGGCCAAGTCAGCTCATGCACTGATAACATGTTTGAAGTTTGCAGTCCACGCCCAGGTGACACCAGGCAAGCAGAAGCTGGGGTGTTTAATGCATCTTCCTACCAATGGACACAGTTTTCCCTCCTGGCCCCTCCCTCGTACAGAAGCAGCAGCATTAGGCCAGAGGATTTTGCACTGCCAGGGAGCTGTTATTGCCCCTGTGATTTGAAGGAGAAAGGAGTGATGAATATAGACCAGCCCCAGCTTTGTCTTATCATTCAACACACGTGAGGCTGTGTGGGCTGGGGAAAGTTAAGCTTTGCAGCACATGAAATGTAAGTGGTTAGTTTACGTCTCCTTTTGGAGCTCAGGCAGGGCTTGGTATGCCCATGGCACAACCAGTTCTCATGCTTTCTGAGAGTGACAGAACTGGTTTCAGTAGCACCTGACCCATACCATGGAAGGACACAGTGCCTCTGAGCACCTTCTGTCTGCCTAGTAACCTCTCACAGCTTAATAGGTGCCAGTCCTGCTAAGAGGAAAAGGGTGGCTTGGCCCCTCAAGGGCCTGCCCTATGAGTCAGCCATATACCAAGTGCAGAGCTCAGTATTTAACATCTGACTAGCAAAAGAAATCACAGCTAACCACAAAATAAATCCTCACTCTACTCACTCTTCAACCTACAACTTTTTACTTGCATAAAAAACAAACTGAAGGCAAAAACCAGTCCTCAAACAGGCTTTAGATTATTTACTTTTTACGTGGAGGTATATCAGGAGTCATATTTCATTAATGGCTGCCAAGCCAACACAGTCCTTTGGCATCTCTCCTCTGCAATTGCCTCCAGAAGGAGTGAGTGGCCACTAGAAAAAGCTGCCACTGAATTCCAGCTGAATAAATAGAAAACTTCCCCTCAGAACTCAGGAGAAGCCTGTGGACTTTCAATGCTGCACAACAACTTCATAGCAAATCCTTTTAAGACATCCCCAGACCAAAGCAGCACTTTCCTTCTGAACCCCTGAGCAATTTTTAAGATTGTTTTTTATTTTGTAGAGCAAAATTTTTTTTAAACACTCAAGCAGCTCAGCTATTTTCCTGCCTCCTCTCCATTTTAATATTCTTACAATATATCCAAAATTACCTATAAAGTATCAAAAAACACCATTTCTAAAGCTAAAACTGGATTTCAGAAGTCCAGACTTTTCAGGAGAACTGTTTCCAAGGACAGTTAAGGAAATAGGAACTACAAGAAAAAGGAGTCTGTTTCCACCAACTACAAAAGAGAAACCCAACAATCACCCAGGAATGCAAATAAATTGTAAAATAACTGTTTGTTGCAACACCTAGTGAGAAAGATCTTTACACGTTTCTGAAAACAGCTGAAAGAATGTAAAAAAATCACAAGGAAGAAAGAACAAAATCTACTCTCACACACCACTTTTCAGAAGGCTACAATCACTCCACATGCTTATCCTTAGGACACACACCTCCACTTCAAGCACAGCCCATGAAGGACAGCTTGAGATGTTCACATTGCTCATGCCAAACTTTTACATGCTCCCTCACTGTGGTTCAAAAAAAAACCCCAGAACTCTTGAATATCAATAATTTTGGAAATGGTTTAAGTATTACACAATTTTCTGCTTTTAGGTCATGAAAAGAAAACAGATAGGATTTGGAGACTTTAGGGCAATACAGCCTGCACCAGAAAACACTTACACTGCTCAAAGATTTCCCTGCACAGGATTCTCTCTTGAATTGCTTCATCTACAGGCTACAGAAAGAAAGAAAAAAAAAAAGCCAAAACAAAACAACAAAACTGCAAACACACACCAAAAACCAAAACAAAACCACCCTTAAAACAGCCTGGGGTCTGAGCCACGTATTGGGTTTTTTTTTTTTTTTCCTGTCCACAAACAGCTTAATAAAAAAAACCAAAAAAAAATCACCATAAAAACCACTGGAACCTCAGAGATTCCCATGCCTTTAAAGTAGGATGTGTCTCATTCCTATTTTACTCCTGCCTTTCACAAACAAAAAATAAAAGAAGTCATCAATGTCAAGGAACTAGAGAGAAATGAGACTTGTCTGCCCAGACAATACAAAAAACATGTCCTTCAGAGAAGGCCCTGTAGTCCCTTGATTTGATGGCAGTGGAACACCTGAGAGCTTTCCACCCTCCCTTTCATGGCCTAAAAAGGCTTCTTCACAGTCAAAGAATGAGGCTATAAAAAAATATTTGGTCTGTGGTTGGCACACCGAGCCTCAAAGTAGTAGTGAACGAGATGCCCAGTCAGAACAGTCCACTGAATGGGTTTGAAAAGCACTGGATTCATTTAGAAGCAGCTCAGTTTTGACACTGGGCTGTCTTTACCTTCTGTTACAGCTTAAGGAAATTTCTGGTTTTGATCCTGAGCAGCATGTTAGGCAAAAGTGAAGGCAAAGCTCCTCGCCAGGTTAGCCACATTTGCTGAGTCAGTGTCAGTATGGAGAGAGGACTGCAAACACAAGAACATGTCACTGAACTTATGGGTGAAGTCTCCCACCCCGAGGAGACCTGCAGAGGAATCTGGCCAGCAGCAGCTGTCTGCCCCCTGCACTGGCTCCTCTGTGGCACCTTCTGTGCAGGAGTAGAAACAAGAGTCTTAGATGCGATGATGCATTTTGTGTCTTCAGCTTCTGCTTGAGAACTTTAGACTTGGAAATCCTGCTCCATTCTTTCCAGTTGAGTTTTTGTCAACTTGAGATAGCCCAAGGCAGTTAAGCCAGTTCACAACAGAAACAAAACGCTCCCTAAGGGGATGCACCTCAACAGGCAGTGCCCTTGCATCTCTCTCAGTCTGCTGTGCCACGGAGATGCAGGACTGCAAAGCTCAGTCACAAAGATTCCAAATAAAACCAGGAATCCAACCCTGCTGTTGGATCAAGACAGCAGTGGCTCTGCTGGGATTTAACCAAGCCAAAAGCTGACACCACCTCTTTCCTTCCTACATTTAAAAAAGACTAAGACTGCAAAGCACGGGAGTGGAGACACTGTTCTGGATGGTTTGCTGCTTCTGGCATACCTCTCAAGAAGTAATAAATAAACAAAATACCTCCAAACAAACAAAATATCTTAGGAGGTACAGTATTTAGGGCAGCCTGTCACTTTATATGTTATGTCAGTTACAGCACTTTTTACACAAGGAATAAAAAATAAGTTACAATTAACATTAAAAAAAAATGTGATTTATTCCAGTTCTCCATAAAATACCTTTGCTTTTATGAAGAAAGTAAAAATTGTACACTGAATGTTCAAGTTTCATTGTTAGAAACTGTGATATTCTGGTTTGCAGAATTTTATTAAAATCAGCTAAAAACATGGGATACAACATAAACCCAGACATGTCTTAGACACTTAATAGGCTTCAAGCTGAGTTTGGAAACACCAGCACCTATTGTAATCTAAGTTCTCAACACCCCTCTGGACTTCCCAAAGACTCTCAGACTATGCTTCTTAAAGAAACCAAAAACAAAACCAAAACAAACAGGGAAAAAACAAAACAAAACACCCAAGGCAGACAAGAGGAGGGAATATTCTTATCTGTCAATGAATTAGAAACTTGCAAGAATCTTCTGTTTGGGCCAGATCTTAACTGACCAGCCTCATTTCTACAGAGTGCAACACAACCTGCCATCTCTGCAGAAAGGCATTTCAGCCCCACTCCATTTTTGCATTTCAACTGGGAAAAAAATAGAGGAAAGACTGGAGTAAGAAAGTGGTGTTATCTGGAATAATTCTGATGTATAAAACAACTTCCCAATGTGGGAGGTGAAAATCTTCATGAGTCAATCCTGCTGTCATCCTCAGCATGTCTTTCAATGTGTCCTACAGCATCCTAGAGAAGAATCAGAGAGGTCAGTTAATAGTAATCATCTAAAAATCACAAAAAAAACCATCACAAAAACCACCAAAAACTTTGCAAAAGATTTTTGAAGCCTCAGTGAAAGTGACATTCTGGATAATACATATTTTTTGGCTGAAGGCCTCTAAAATAATAACTTAAATCATGTATAGAAAGTATCTGATATACCACATGATTCAAGGCAAATAAACCCCATCATATCCAAAGCTAGTGCTTATAGAAAAATTAAAGATTCTACTTCTGTTTCTTAGTTCTCAAAGAAACCTCCTTCCATTGTGTATTTTGAAAAGCATTCACCAGGAAGATAATTTAGATTGCCAAGGAGTAAACTGTGGATTTGACCAATCAGCCTAAAGGTAACAACCTTCCACCCACCCCCCAACCCTTTCCACATCATTTAATCCAACTCTTCTGCCTTCTTCAACTTTTCCCCTCTGTGCTAACATTGACTTGGAAATTTATGCACTACTTATTTGAAGATTGTAAGCAAAACCCATCCCTTGTGAAACACAAACAGCATCAGCATCCACAATGATGAAGGGGGGTGGTGGTGGGATAAAAATTAAGAGGAGAAAAACCTGATTCAGGACTGATGTTTGTTCACCTTAAAACTTTTTTTCAACAAAAACTTAGTAACACCTTAAGTGTAGTTCTCAGAACTTCTGATATTTCAAGAATTTTAGCATTTCCATGTAATATTTTGGGATCAAACTGTTTTAAATGGATTGTATCTCAAGTTCTCATACTTAGCTGCACTCTTCCTCTGTCAGAGGTTCAACTGAATCCTACTAGCCTGGTATGACTGTAACTGTATGCAGTTAAACCTGTCAAGACTAGAAGAATTTAACTCTTTTCAAGAGAAATAGGATAAAGTCCCAAAATTGTGGTGACAAAGTACTTTAGACCACCAAATACAACCACATGAGTTCAACTACATACCTGCTTGGACCCTTTCCTGGAAGTAAAGAAAGCATCACAGTTCTTCCAACGACATTTTAGGGTCTGAAAATTTGGGTTGGTGTGGTCAGTTAGCAAGTGTTGTTTCAGATGGTCCACAACTCCAAAGATCAGTGAACATCCATGCCACTGGCAGAAAAAACAACACACCAGAATAAGCCAGGAAAAAAACATTTTTAACTAATGCTTTCCCTACTGCACCTTCACAGTGTTCTACCAAAACTGTTCACAGGCATGCCACTTCCTCTAAGTTTTTAATTTTCTTATTTCATTTCCATTCTCAGTGGTCTCTATTCCCTTAATTACAGCTTTACAGAGATTCTTCCTGCCTCTATGCAAGCCTAGACCATCTGCAAGAATGGCAGAAGGGAGAAAGGAACTAAATCTTCACAAGATTGAACCTTACCCGAGACAGTCATTGGGAATTTAATTAAACTTATTTAGCAGAGTAAATCAGCTTTTCTATGTCAGTCAGTGGAAGTTTTGGGGTTTAAACATATCACTACCTAAAAATTGCCAGAAAGAAGAATAATTTAAGATGGTACTATCAGCTTGCCCCAGAACATACACATATGCTGAGGACCATGAGAAAACAGAAGTAGTGATATATACTTACATTTAAAATGCACATATTGAAAATATAATTGAATTATAATAAAGGTCAAGCTATCCAAGACTGAGTAGTGGCCATTCCCAGAAAAACAGTGTCTAAAAACTGTAACAGAGGAAAGATAAAAATATTCTTGCTCATTACCCAGCAACGATAATTCTGCATCAGGTTGAGCCTCACAGCTCTGACGCTGCCATCGTAGCACCCAGTGTAGATCTGTGAAAGAAACAGCTATGGATCAGCAAGCTGGGAATCACAGGAAAAAAAATAGTCATACTTTGAAGGAGGCTTCAGTGAAGAGTATATTAGGTGAAAAACAATAAAATACCAACATGCAAGGCTTCTGAATTTTAAAAAAATAGGTCTAGTCTAGTTCTTTTAAGATTTGCATTCATAGTTCACAAAACCCTTGTAGTAAGAAAAATTTCCATAACTTCTACACTTGTTAGTGTCACACATGTAGAAGTTCAGAAAACTTGAAAATCTATCCACTGAAGTGAAAAAAATTCTAAGTGTAACCATCAAGTTAAATTACAGTAATTAATCAGTTATATGTATGTCAAAAAGGGATAGAGATGAAGGATGAGGAAGAGCATCAGTATTTCAGAAAGAAAAGGCTGATGCAGTCCTGAAAAGGCAGCCAAAATGACATCTTAAACCCTCTTTTTTTAGGCAAATGCTACATGCAAATTGTCCTTTAGAAAGAAACGGATCTGGGGGAAAAAAAAGAGTCCTCACATAAAATCTTCAGCTTGCAGACCTTTCTGTATTGTTTATTACTTTGGTTCAAATCTTTTTCCCTCTTGGAAATTAATCTGTAGGATGCTCTGGTGTGTAAGAGACCACAAAGACTACTACAGAAAATGAGAATCTTTCACTTGTCACTAAGCTTGTCACCTGAACTCTTCTTTGACTTGAGAATGCCACAAACAGACTATTGCTGGGGGACAGCTCAAGCCTCAGACTGTAAACACAAACCCTGAGTGCACTGTGCTCTCCACCCCCTCCACATGAGAAGTGAAGCTTGGGCAGTTCCTACTCCAATTAGCAGGAGACCAGTTCTGTTAGACTTGATTCTTCTGTCATTACAGATCATCACTCTACTCCTTATTCTACAATCTGGAAGGAAGATTGCAAATGTTCCTACATATGCAGGCAAATAAGTGCTTTTAATGACTCTTTTAAGCAAGTTACTTACACAGAAATCCTTCCGAAACTTATCTTGCAGGGCAGATGCATGAAGAAATCTGTACACCTAAATCAACTGCATGCCTTTGATGAGGTTTAAGCAAGCTACTTAAGTTTCAGAAGGATTTCTGTGTATCTTGCAGGGCAGATGCATGAAGAAATCTGTACACCTACATCAACTGCATGCCTTTGATTAGGTTCTATCAAAGGTTACAAGAGATTGGACTGTGGGTGAAGTGTTTCTCTAGTGTCTGTGTGACTCTCCTCAGTAAAAGTCAAACAGGATTGGTGCTTGAAAAGAGGGAATCTTTTACTGTTTCTAGACCCTTCTTTGCAATCAACATTGTAAATAGAACCATTTAAGAGCCACAAAAATGATCAGAGGGCTGGAGCACCTCTCCTATGAAGACGGGCTGAGAGAGTTAGGGTTGTTCAGCCTGGAGAAGAGAAGGCTCCAGGGAGACCTTATAGTGACCTTCTAGTACCTGAAAGGGGCCTATAAGAATGCAGTGCAGGGTCTGTTCCCACGGGTTTGGGGTGACACCACAAGGGGTAATGGCTTTAAGCTGGAAAAGGGTGGATTTAGGTTGGACATTAGGAAAAAGTTCTTCAATATGAGGGCGATAGACCACTGGAATAGGTTGTTCAAGGAGGTAGTGGAGGCCCCATCCCTGGAGACATTCAAGGTCAGGCTTGAAGAGGCTCTGAGTAGCTTGATCTAGTTGGAGATGTTCCTGCTTATGTCAGGGGGGTTGGACTAGATGATGTTTGGAGGTCACTTCCAACCCACACAGTCTATGATCCTATGAATTGTTTTAAGACAAGAGTAAGCTAGAAGGTAATTTTTCCCCAGACAAGAATATTGCATTAATTCAAAGCTTTCATAGCAACTTGTGGTTTTGGCTGACATTTCTAAGTTCTTAGTCAGACAGCAGGTTGATTTCATTATCTGAAAAAAAAAAATCAGTGGTCTTGTATAAAGACAGGCTTGTGGAAATCACAACCTTCTCTCTGAGACTAGTGGAAAGAAGGGAGTTACCATGCTCTTGTGGATGGTCATGCACATGATCATATCTGTGTGGCCTCCGTAGACTTGCAAGCGGTCGTGTGACTTGAAAGAAAGAGAAAGAGACATTTAACAGCAGGACAGTTAATTGTCATTTTCCACAGACATGCAAATGACAATGCTTCCAAGGGTAGTTTCCTGGGTAACAACTAAACTCCTCTGGGAGATTCCAAACTTCATAGCCACCATGCAAGCTCACTTTTGCTTTGATTACTTCTGTCAGTCATCTTGTGCAAGCAAGCACTTGGTCTTTCTGCAGACAAAACTGACATTTCCCCACCTTCTGAGCTGTCATTGTCTTAGGATAACCCAGGCTCTAAACCAAAGGTTTAGGTTTTAGTCTGTAAAATCCATATATTCTGGCTGGTGAGAGAACTGTATGTCTGAGTGACAGGAGATAGAGGGATGGGCCAGAGACCACCAAGATGACCTGTATTTGACTTCAAGATAATTAACACACATTAGGTAAATGTCATTAGTGATCATGTATTTTCTTACCTGTAGCTCATAAACACGAACAAATTTGTCCAGACATGCTGTCACCATCACCTTCCCCAGAATGTTCACAACCGTCACCGCGTGGTTGTGCCCTTTATAGATCCTCACCAGCTCTCCAGTCTGCATCAAGAGAAAGCAAAGGCACAGGGGGGCTTGCTTGGCTGTTTTGTTTTGCTTTTCATAACAAACCAAACCAGTTTTACCTAACCTAGATAGTGTAGCCAGCTTCAGTGCCTACTGCTCAAAAAATAGAAATACCTTTATTAGAATTCCACTTCCTGTGAAGACACTTCTAGATTATGGCCAAACACTGCTTATCCCTTTTTTTTTTATTCCCACATTAACACAGAGCCATTTGGTACAACAGAAATGCAGGCAACTACTGGAAGTGTCTACTTCCCTTTCTATCACTGGTTACATGTTCCCACCTACCCTGCACCTAGCACTGTGCAGTTAGTACCAGCAGTATTTATGTAACCACAAGGCTCAGCGAGCAAATTTAGCTAAATATACAGAAACACGCAATCTTTTTGTCAATTAAAATTTACCACTAAGTTTCTCAATCTAACCTATGGCATAGCTGCATGAATGCCTCTGCTAGCACCCAGGACAGATGGTGTGAAAGAGGAAGAGAGTGGCAGGCTAGAGACAAAGCACTCACAACAAGGTAACAGCTTTGGAACCAGCTAGTTTGGAATGCTGTTTGTGTTCCTCAGGGTTTTCCTGTGATGAAGAAACTCTTCCCCCACCTGAATATCTCACATGGCTTTGCTCTGAACCCTTTCCAGGTTACTGGTACCTTTGTAGCAGTATTTGCAAAAGCAAGATCCCTAGATGAAAAGACACTGCATAGCACACGAGTCACCACGTTTATGTATCCTCTACATGCCTCTTTGGTTGGCTATAGTGCACAGTCACATACACAAAAATCATGCAATTTCCTTTCCTGGAAGCAATCTGCCCCACCAGTCAGTCAAAAATTCTGGAAATGCTGCCTTTATAGCACAGGAATTCACTGCCTTAATAGTAAAAGTCTTGTCAACTTTATATATGAGACTTACATGAATGTTGTGGGCATGGACAGACTGATCACTGGAGCCACTGAATACCAGATCATTCACAACCTTAAGGGGGGAAAAAAAGTTTTATTTTTGAAACAGATATGGAAACAGCCAAGCAAAACATTATGACGAAGTTTAGTTTGAAGTTGTACTGTATTATTTTCTAAACTTGACAGTCTTAAAATCAAAGGAGAGTATTAAAAAAGAAGCATGCACTGTGTTTTTGTACAGAAGAGCTAAGAACTATGCTACACTATTCTAATAATGACTTGTGACAAAATTGACATTGGAAGCTGTTAACTTGCAGCCCACCAAATGGAAGCCTTATGGACTATTCTCAGGGACAACTAAATGACATCCTGGGGACCAAGCAAACTGAATGCAGAATGCTGCTCTGCATGTGCACAGTGAAGCCCATTGGAAATATTGGATAGGCTGTGCACTCATGTTCTTGTCATGCAAGAAAGATGATGCTCCTGACAAGTACTAACCTAGACAGGAAGCTTAACAGATCCATCACGGATCACGAAGGGACCACAGGATGTTGCCATGCAAGCATGACTAGGACAGTCTACAGGGGAAAAAATAGCTGTGGCCGTGCACCGTAGTATCTAAACTGACAATTTATGGAAGTCATCCCCTACCTGTTACACCACAGTGCTCACAGCAAAGCAATCAGACAAGCACACAGCCCAGCCCTCAGAGGCCAGAAACTCATAAATAAGTGTTAGTGATTCTTCCATTAAAAAGAAAAAAGAATACCTCTCTAAAGTTACATTTTTTCCAGTTTCCTGTCAGCTCTGAGGTTTGTACAATCAGGGTACATGAAAACTAGCTTCATCTTTTCCCCAACTTTCCCTCTGTTGGCAAACACAAATTTCAAGATTCCCTGAACCTAAGAACCTGAAACAAACATCCTTCTTACATACACACCTCCAATAGTTTTGCTGGGAACACGAGATAGAGCAGCCAGCCAGAAACAGCTTTCCTACCACATGGCTCAGCGTTTATCATTTCAAAGAGAGAATCCCCCATTTCCTACCACAATCTGCTCACCATTAGATGAGGAAGAAAAGGCCAAAAGACACCACTTTAAGCATTCTTTGTCAAACACTTTTTTCAGAGGCTTTCACTTGCCTTCATGCAGAGTATAGTCTTGCTGTGACCCTCCAGGGTCCTGAGGAGCAGCCCGTTGCGCGCATCGCGCACGCTGATGGTGCAGTCGTAGGAGCCCACTACCAAGAGCTTGCGTGCTCCCTCCTGAGCTGTGGCCAGACAGCTCACTGCCCGGGGGCCGTGGCACTCAAAGGTATCAACGTGCTTGTTGTTCTGTTGGGGGAGGAAAGGAATTAAACCTGGCTGTGACACCGACTCGACCACCGAGTCCTTTTTGTGTCGTACTTGTT